AATTCCTTGAAAGTTTAAAAATAAGTTTAGAAGCTCGTATATGAGCACGCTCAAGATCATCCATTAGTGCAGGTGAGCAGGAACCCCATACTAGTATTCCGTATAAGAAACTTGGAAGTACAGTCCTAAAATTCGTTGATACCTGTGGGATTTAGACTGCCGGTTTGAAAGATGAGCTTTTGTTCAAGAGTTTTCCGGCTTTCCATGCTACCTAAGTGTCAGGAAAGACCGCAGATTGCCATGTGTTGCTTAGAGACCCTTAGAATGATTAGGTAAATTAAAATGTCTAGCGACTGGTTTCGATGTGTCCTTGTCATTCCTCTCCACGTCGCGAAGGTGTTCTCGGAATCGGTCACCTAGTCTTCTGCCTGTTTCGAAACGCCAGCTTTTTAACTCATTACGGTAGCCAATTTACAATTTCAACTTAGTCGATATAACCAAATTACCTTGTTACCCCCACTGACGCAGCACCACAAATTCTTTAGAAACTTTCACCTTTATGCATAGCTGTCGCTTAGCATATGAGGCATAGACCATTTCCGAACTGTATAAATCTTAACTTTCTTTATCAGGCTACTTGTAAATGCAAATCTTATTACAACTCCTAAAAAGGTGGGCTTTCAGTTTCAAAAATATCGGACCTCGTGAGCATACGAAAGTATAAAATCAAGTAAAAACTAGTAAAATCAAGAGAAAATCATATTCCATGCTCTTATCCGTCATTTTCAAAACAGAAGTCTTGTGCATCTAGAAAATGTCTTTTGGCCAAACATAAGGTTGGTGAATGGGACTTTTTCTCCCCATTTTAGAAAATTTCACCGCAAAATTCTTCGTTATGAATTGACGACTCGCCCATTTTGGATTATTGACGTTGTTGTGTTTTGTGATATTATGAAGACTGCCCTAACCAAACTTCGTTTTCTCATCGAAAGGAACCTAAAAAAAGCCTTCTAATCTGCAATCTCTAACTCCAATGGAAATTTAAAAAGACAACGTACCGCAATATCAGATACAAGAAATGAATCCACAGGTAAATATAATTGTTGACGGTTTATCCGATCTCTACTCAGAAATTAGGCGAAAACTGCAGATTTTTCAACTTCCAGTAAATTCTTGGTTGCAATCTTCAACCAAGCATAAAATTTCATGATCGATACAATTATTTCACAAACTACTTATTACAAGAGGAAGCTCAAAATGGAGAGCAAA